ATATTTAGTTTTAGTTGTCGTTTCGCCCCATTATGTATCCTAAATGTTCAGTTTTAGTAGTCGTTTCACAGCGCCATTTTGTGTACTAGGTAAACTATTTAGACCAGTTTAAAGAACTTATATCCCTGGAACGCTTACTTGATTTATGTACTTTTTTTTCTCTCTCTCTCTCTTTTTTGTGTCCAAGATTGCTTTTTTTTTATATTTATGTACAAGTATTTTGACATATATTGTTTTACTTGCTATTTTGTTGTATGTCTTAATCATTACTTTTATGTGCTTGTGATGATAAAAAGGGGATTTATTGTTTTATGTGGAAGTAAATTATTCATTTTATTTCAGCACTGCAAACATGTTAAAGTAAAAACGGTCTGATATGTAACTGGTCCTTTACATGCTGCGAGAATTTCCATGAATATTTAATTAGACAGTCAATATTCTTTGTTTTCTTGAATGTGTATTTTTAGTATTTTGCATGAATAATCACTCTTGTGTGGTTTCATTGGCTACACTCATTCACTTATTACTACAGGAGTTCAGTTTGTGTGATTTTGCATGCATATGATTTAATCCTCTTGTTAAACATTTTGATTTAAAGGAGATTGTGGGTAGAGATGTAGAGGTAATGCATGAAGAAGACGTCAGTTTATACCACACTCACCGCAGTAACTTGTTTCTTTTTACTGATTTTTGATAAAGATTAATATACTAATCTGTCAGTAATTGGATTTTTTGAAGAGGAATTTCATGGTGAAAATGAACTTGTAAAAGGCACAGGAAAAATATTAACTTGTTGATTCTTCTAACATTTCAGTGAGAGACCTTCCTTAGCACTGTTTCTGTGGCAACACTTCCATGAGAACCTGGGCCTCATCTTCCAGCCTTAGAAGATAAAAATGTGCAGCTTACGTCTTCCAGACTCTCTGTGCTGTGAAAAGCTGTGGGAGCATGAGATTTTCTGGCCTTGTGCATGCAACTGCCGTGGCCCAGAGCGTGTGTACTGTAACGACAAATTATGGATTTCATATGCACCATCTCTTGAGGAAATTGCTCAATTCCCAGTGATAAGCGATACTTTTTACTCTTTTAAAATGCTACATAATCATACATTCAAAATATATTTATTTTGTACTGAACAACCATGATATCTGAAGTCTATTATGGCTGTGTGACAGAATAATACTTGGAATAGATGATTTTCAACACTTGTTTTCCCCATCAAAGTTATGAAGTTCAGAATACTACTAAATGAAGCCAGATATGTTCAAAGTCCCTAAAATCCAGTCTAGGAAAATGAGAATATTCAGTGACTCAAACATGCTCATGCTTGAAAGAAAAGATATCTTTAAATGACACACATGGCACTGCATGCATCAGCACCTCTTACTCTTGCACAAACAGAAGACTTGGGACCGAAGACTCAAGACACCGATTGCACATCATTTCATCAAGAGACAAAGAAAATGGACAATCTAAACTCTTTTTACACTTCAGCATGAGCAGCAGTCACTTTCATTTCTGTGGAATTATGTACAATAATCAAGAAGGTTAGAATATGGGATTAAAACCAATGACTTCCACTGACTGCAGTGATTGCTTTAATTCTGTGCAGCTCTTTGGAATTTATGAAGGATAAAAAGAATATATGTTTATCAATAGATTCCAAGTTATGTCATGGTTTGGTTGTGATATTTGATGAATGATTCCCATTCACATGTATTGACTTGCTCTATTGGCAGTAACTGTACTATAATTTCTGTATATCATAGAGGATGAAAGACACTGGTCTTATCTACTATACTGGGAAGTCAATAGAAGTTATGTAATCAATCCATTATGCTGACTATCATTCCATGGGCCAGAGTAGATTTGCTCTTCTTTTCTTTAAATATTGATGTTAACCTTTTTTTTTTTTTCTTCTTTTTATCCTAAGCACCTCTTTGATGATGAAGTACACTATTTTTTGCGACTGTATTTTAAAAATCATACTGCCCTTTGTGTATATTGAAAGACAATGCATGGAAAGCTCTGGCCCTTTTATTTGTTTAGACTATAACAATTTGATTGTGAATTTCAAGACTTCGGGGAAATATCTGCATTATATTGCTGGCAAACCAAAGAGATTTAACAGTGGCCTATTAAAATACTATAATACAGATTGTATGTGAAAGAAGAAAATAAATATAGGCTTATTAAACATAATAAAAAATAGACTTAAAGCTATTCAGTCATGTGGAAACAATTATGCCTTTGTTGTGTCACATCTTTATAATGATCCTTTTCATTACTGTACTTTGTGGTCTGGAATAGAATATGTACCGTTACCTAGTGAAATGTTTACCTTTGAAAAGAAAATGCACACACCAAAAAAAAACAAACTTATTTTGACCTGCCCTCCATCGTGAATCTACAAAAGGCAACAGTACTAGTCTAGCACTGCATGACAATGTACAAGAGGTTAGAATCATTACATTCGTATGCCTCACAGGGACACAGAGTTGCCATTATTTCTGCATTGAATACCACAAACACGACTGTATAATGCCAACAAATGATGTACACTATAATCTTGTCAGTGATTATTAAAGTATAATTTTATAAGTGTTTTCTTTGTGTCCTTTCAGTTAATGAAACAAATTGAGGGCTCAGATTGGTTTCATATGATGTCAGATTAATAATATTATTATTATTATTATTATTATTAATATTATTATTATTAATAATATTATTATTATTATTATTATTATTATTATTATTATTATTATTAATTAATTTTTTTTTTTCTAGGCTACAAGAAAGTGGACTGTCACAAGGATGTAAACTGATATTTCTAAAACAAAGTTGGTCTATACTTGTAAAACATTTTTACAACTATAGCATCTTAACCCATTGCTGCCGGGGAAAATGAACAAAAAATGGGGGAAATGCAGAACTCATTTTTTATATTTTTGTGAAATATCTCTGTCCATAGATGGCTCTGCTAGTCCTGATTTCACCTTTCCTTGAATTGGCGGGAAAAAACGTATTTTTACTAGTGCTTATAAATATAAATGGTGTTATTTTTAACAGCAAATTAGGATAATGTTAAATATTTTCGTAAATCGATGAAAAGGGTGAACGAGCGAGACAGGCAGTACTCGTAATTGGCTCATTGGATACTTAGTATAAGTGTAGCCATCTATGTGTAAAAACAATCGAACAAGTCGACTCACAGTGGGCATGGCATGTGCGTACATGCCATCCCCAGCGGCAATGGGTTAAAATGTGTGAATATTGCTGGTATAACTGTAGCTGTATAGTATTCCCATTTTTCAACTTTACAACTGGAGGTAATAATAGGATGGTAACTTTAGTAATTGCCCAATATACAGTGCTAACTTATAAAGTCATTTTAAGGACACTTACTACTATATAAACTAAAATGTGCTAATGAAAGATACTAATTAAATCAGTTAATTAAAAGGTTACCCAAAATGACTTGAGAGAGCACTATATCAAATGCCAACTAAAGTGCATTATATACAGCTTGTAAACCTCCCTAGTAATATATACTCAAATTAGAAACCAGTCACAGCTCTTAACCTCCCAGAATATACGTGGATTTTTTCTGTGCCTTGTCCACAAGATCAAATAGTGACCAGTGGACAGTGTCCATTTATTGGTCAAAGCCTGTGTCATAAATGGGGGTGCTGGTGTCTGGCAAGGACATTTATCCATATCTGGCAGCAAATCATAATACTACCAGGCATACAGCCTTTGGTGATTTCGCTTGACCATGGGCCTGGAGATGGGCATGCTAGTCAATTTTGATCACACAACATGCATTAAGCAAATGACTGCTGAGCCTGATCATGTGGACAGAGCTTTAACCTTGTCCATTTCAGAACCTGGATAATCAATTATAAATCATCATCTTAAAATATCATATACTTTCCTCAATCGAGTAATGGAAAGCAAGATACAATTTGGGCAAGAAAAACACACAGGTTTGCAGCTCTTGATTGTACTCTGCCTACCATGATAATCTTAGATGTGAATTTCTGCAATATGTATTTAATTCAGATCCACTAAGGTTTCAAAAACAGCGCCACAAAAGTAACGAGTCTTTTGAGGATGATGTGGCTGTGGTAAGCTGTGTACATAACTAAGAGTTGGCAAGTTTCATCACTTTACTATTGGTACAAATGGTACTATGGTACAATGATGTAACACTGATCAATATGCAGGTCTATGATTTTCATATAATTGATAGCTCGTTACATCAAAAAGTAAATATGTATAGTATAAATTTCACTTACTCTAGGATTCTCTTACCATTTATGTATTCACAAACACGTCAAATAGCAGTGTAATAGAGTCCACCTCTACCCATTCCTTTCTCCTTCTTCAGAAACTCAAACTTACTCTCATGTATCTTTTCCCTTTCCCTGGCACGTACTCTATACCTACCCTTCAATATATCAAAACTTTTAACTTTAAGGAACTAGAATATCATTATTTCTGGTATATGAAAATAATATGTTTAATGGATTAAGACTCCTGCCAAGTGAGATCTAGATCTATGTCAGACATTGTCACTTGCCTTTCTTGTTTCTGAATAATCAACACTTACTTATTACACAACAATCTGTAAGATACTGAACATTTCTGCATTATGCAAAAAGTACTAGCTTGTGATTAGCTATAATTCATTATAATTTACATTATGATGAGTGTTCATATTTCTTGTAGTTTGGACTGTATATTACTTATAAGACCTATCTGTATTTTCACTCTTTAAAATGCCATGTTCATCACAGAGGTTTTTAAAAGTAAATATCTTAGTGTGTCATACCAGCTAGATCTCATATACCACTCTTCACATAAAAAATCAGTAAGATCACAATTTCTCTTCCAGTGGATCTTTCAATTACTGTTTTGCTTTCTATGTTCCTCTGGTACTGTAACTGTATACAGATACCATACAATTTACAGAAAAAGGAAGAGTGAAACTACCAAAATTCATTCATATTATTTATATCTTTATTCTTAGCATTATCAGTTTTCCAAATTGGTCATTTGTTCACATTCATCCAGACAAACAGATGCTTTGCAAATATAACATTCTATAAACGCTGCTTTCACAATTTCCAGTCCACTTAAAAAAACAAAATATTGGAAAAGTACTCAATATACATGAACCATTCCATACAAAAAGGTCCAGCACAGAATATAGGTGAACAGGCCAGAAAAGAGGCCACTGGTGAGAAGAGACTGTCGACTGACAAAATACTGCTGCCATTTTGACCCCGCTTTCAAAAGCAGCATCAGCCACAGTATGAGACCAGCCAGGAAGAAGAACAGGAAGCCATACAGGCCAGTCAAGCCCAGCATACCTGTTGAAATAAAAATACCATGGTTACAACACCTTTTGTTTTTCTATTTTTGGCATTTTCTGAGGGTAACAAAAATGCTTTTTTTTTCTAATTTCGACATCCTCTGGAACAACCAACTGAAAATCTCTCTCCATATATACAGAAATGAGCCAAAATAAACACCATAAAATCAGTTTCTTTTAAAGATGAGCTTCTGTGCTTTCCTTCAGAAACTCTCTGCTTACCTGCTGTAGCTCCAGACAATGCGGCCATTGACGTTCTACAGTACTCAATCACAGCCAAATTATTACGGACAGCAGCATCACTATAAGCTACAATCTCCCCAGTCCCACGGTCCACTCTGGTGCGCACTCTGCCCGACATCTTGAAGAGTCTGAAAAAAGAATGAGTCAGTCGTGCTGATACTTGATATATAACAAGAAAGGAATCCTGGCTTGAGGAATCTCCCCTACCTTCTACAAAGAAATCAAGAGTAGTGTACATAACTAAATGAGAATAAAAGAGAGGAAAGGAGAGGAAAGGCGAGGAGAGGAGAGGAGAGGGGAGGAGAAGAGAAGAGAGGAGAGGAGAGGAAAGGTGGAGAGGGGAGAGGGGAGAGGAGAGAGGAGAGAGGAGAGAGGAGAGAGGAGAGAGGAGAGAGGAGAGAGAAGAGATGAGGGAGGAGAAAGGAGAGGGAAGGATAGAAAAAAATGGAAAAACAATGCCAAACATGCATTACGTGTGATTACAACAACAACAATAATAAAAATAATAGTAATAATAATAAAAGTAAAAATAAGTAATAATAAATAACAATAACAATAAATACTAATACTAATACTAATTATAATGATAAATGATAAAAATAATAAATAATACTAATACTAATACTAATACTACTAATAATAATGATGACAATAACAACAAAACCAGTGAAAAATAAATTATAACACAATAATAAAAGTAAATAGATAAAATATAAATAGTAGTAATAAATAGCAATAGTTAATGACATGTAAAATAATAATAATAATAATAATGATGATGATGATGATGAAAATGATAATGATGATGATGATGATGATGATGATGATGATGATGATGATAATGATAATGATAATGATAATGATAATAATAAATAATAAAAGTATATAATATTCATAAATAATACACATAAATACTAATTACTACTAATTATAATAAAAATTATTGTATAAAAAACAACAATAATAATAACAACAACAACAACAACAACAATAATAATGATAATAATGATAAAAATAACAACAGTAATAATAAAAATAAAGATAATAATAATAAAAAATACTACTACTAATAATAGTTAATGGTTAAATCAAATAAATGTACCTGAGGAAGGAGGACAAGTTGTCAAAGGTAAATGTGGGCCTTCCTTGAGGATGCGCTCCGAGATGGGAGGCGGAGGCAGAAAGGGCAAGTGAGGAAAAGCAGAGGTGTGGAGAACTCTTAAGTGGGGTTAGGACAGAAGGTGTGGGACTGAAAGTGAAACACTGTATGAGGAACACAGTGCAAGAGAGCCATTAAGAAGCAGTTAATGGGTAATAAGATTAGAAATGGGTGTGGGAGAAGTTCGAGGAGAAGAACCTGGGGAATGAGACAAGGGACCAAGGGAAGGAGGTGAAGTAACAGGAAGAATGCCAGGAGGGGAAGGATTTGGAGAAGGACACTGTTGTGACAAAAGGGAGTCACTTGAGAATCCAAGATGGAGAATAAGGGATAATGGGGAAAGAAGGTAGGAATAGTACAGATGGAGAAGGGAGGCTGGGGTGTGTTAAGAGCGTGGGAGGAAAAGTGGCAAGAGGAACATAAGGAGTGGGAGGATGGATGAGGGAGAGGAGCATTCACTAGTTGTCATGTTTTGGAAGTTTTGGATGTCTTCAAGAGTTTCTGGAGGGGCAGGTCTGAGAAATTAAGTTTCTTTTTATGAAGACAAGAAGAAGAGACAGATGTTCGAGTAGAGAAAGAGATGTGCGTAGGAGAGAATGTGGTAGAAAATAGGGTGGAATATTCAGATTGCCCGATACGACAGGTAAAGTAAGAATGAGGGGTAGGCAACAGAGTGTCTGGATTTAGAATGGCAAAGGAATTTGACTGGGAGAAAGAGGGGTTAGAAGTAGGATGGTAAGGAGTAGGGGGCAGAGATACTGGGCAAAATGCAGAGACATATAGGGAAGAAGGCAGAGGAATAGAACAAAGAACAGTATTGGAATAGGTAGTGAGAGAAAAACCTCATCAATGTGATTCCTGTTTGAATCTATGAGCTTCTACTACAGATGTGAACTTGTAGGCAGGGCAGCTCCTATAAATTACACTATGGGAGAGCCACCATTGGCACACATTCAGAGCAATTTGAATGGTTACCAAGTTGGGCACACAAAGGGAAGCAAGCTGTGGAGTGACAATGCTTGGCAAAGGGGACAAGAGGCCAACTTTTCTGGCATTGACAGGGCAGGATTCTCTGTCAATATAAACTTCATGGAGGAGGTCTTGACAATAATGGTGTAGGACTTACAGCGCTGTCCTGATACTGCATCAGAGTCAACAAGGCAGGCAACTAGGTTATTTTCATAATCTGACCAATTCTTGTAATATACAGGGAAATTAGCTGGGAAGGTGGAAACAGTTCTGGTACGGTAAGTCTTAAGGGAGGAATGAGGCTGGGCAGAAATATATTTGCCAATTAGGTCAATCAGGGTAGATATGCATTAGCTTGGGACTCAGACGTAACTGTTACACAGTGTAATCAATTCAAATGGCTGTAGAAGGATACTTTCCTACTTGCTTTTGGAGATATTGTTGGGAAACAGGCAGAATAGTGGGTTGTAGGGGGAATCACAAAAAATCAATCCCACATGGCTCAGTTAAAAAGAGTACTCAAAAGGCTTGTAGAGGTGGAAGTATTAGAAGGACAAGGACATGAAGACGAGGGAGTGGTGTGGAGTGAGGTAGTACTGCAGCGAGGACAACAAGAATGAATAGTAAGAGGAGAAGATGGAAGATGAAGACTGTGTATAATGAGGGAATGGATAGACTAGTTGATGAAGGGGCAAGCACTGAAAGAAATGGTAAGCTCACACTTGCTTATCAATAAAAGTGGTGCTTTGACCCAATCTGTGCTTCAATCTTTGGCAAAGAAAAAACAAAACAAAAAACCTCCACCTTTTAGCAAGACAGAACTTCAAATCTTTCCTTGCTATATATCACCCAATTAATATATCTTGCCAAAATTAAGTGGGGGTTTACTGGCTTTTTTACAAGAACATTAACCCCATACTGACAGGCCAATAAGACGTCATAACAAACCACTCGATCTGTAGTGTGTGGCTGTACACCACGGCTATGTGCCAAAGTGCTACGAGCCAGGGTTCCGCTTGATGTAGTGAACTACCACGCTCAAAGTCGGCTCGTTGCCATTAATCTCCAGAGCATAGATTAAATTTTTTTTTTTTCTTCATCTGTCAGTAAGGGGTTAAATGTAGAGACCACAGAATCACTTTATACATTTCAATTCTGAACAATTCTAACATTAAAGTATAAATAATATCCTGATAATTCTTGAACACAGTACAACATCTGGCTAAGACTAAGCCACACCACTGCTATGACCTCTGTATCTTTGGCACTTTGGCAAAAACCAACAAATTTTAATTCTAAGGTCAAATTTCATCATTGGTATGGGTGCACTTACCTCATTTTTGGCAATGGATATTGATAAAATATATCAACTAAAAACACTTCATCTCTATGTTATCACAGCAAATGAATAATAACAGAAAAAATATCTCTTGTACTTTACTATGTTTTCTGATTATCAGGTGGATGTTAAGTCAGGCATGTTACACTCGTGTTCCCGAGGATTTCTCTTGCTTTTAATTTCACTCTATCTTGCCATGAATTTTTAAGAGAAATACAAGAGGAACTTTGAAAAACACTACTAATGGCTGTGGTACCCAAAACTCATAGAAATAGTGGTTTGTGGTTTAAATGAAGGTTGAAAACATGCAAAACACAACAAAATGAACAAGAAAAATGTATTTTTCGTATGAAATGGCCACCTGTACCTTTTTCTGAAAAATGACCAATTCTATATCCCCTTGGCGACGGGTTAAGAAAACTAAAAAAACCTCTAAGCTCTGGTGATCAATGGCAGCATGCAGACTTTGAGTGTGGGAGTTTGGTATATCAAGCTGAATCACTGGCTCGCCGTGCTTTGGCGCGCCACCGCGGCGGACAGCTGCACGCCACATTTCAAGCGGTTTGTTTTCATGCCTATAGGCATGACGCTTCGGGAAGGGGTTAAATACTTCATATCTACCTAGCAAGATGGAGCTTATAATACTTCCTTATTAGATAGATAGAGAGAGAGAGAGAGAGAGAGAGAGAGAGAGAGAGAGAGAGAGAGAGAGAGAGAGAGAGAGAGAGAGAGAGAGAGAGAGAGAGAGAAATCCAGGAAGGTGTAGAAAATAAAACACACTGATGGAAAATCTTTTGGCTCTGCCAGAGCCAGCACATGAGGAGGCAACAGTGATCGCTCGAGTCACAGCCAGTGTAATATTGGAAGCAACTGTGGGTTTTAAATCAACCCCTAAGAGACTATTTTCTAAAATTCATGATCATATTCTATGTACTCTTTAAGGGTATTAGCTTAGTATTTCTCCATTTCCGCAAGCGCCGGGATTCAAGACCTACCAATATTCTTCGAAGACATCTTGCTCCCCCCAAATGCCAGACCTACATACTCGTTTTCAAACTACGAACTACAAATCAAGGCTCCTCATGAATGCACGAATTTCACGCATGCAACACACAACAGAAGACATCCTCTAACTTCGAGAACTATTTGTCTCCAAAAACTAGACTTAATCAGGAATTTCAACAAACAAACCCAAACACGCTTCTCCATCAGGAAGCAAATAACCCATCTATTACACCGACATACCAACAAATATTTACAAATCCTGTTAGAAGGAACATTCATCTACCGCCATAAAAGATAATAAAGGCCAAAAGAGGTAAAAGAAAGACTTACGAGACGCCAAAAACACGGAGATAATTTTCCGTCACAAAATCAGCTGGAAAATCAGCTGTTTGTTGACACTCCTCGAAGGACCGTCGTCTGCTGGGAGGAAAGTTATCGTACAGAAGGGTTTATGATTTCAGGGATTTTGGCTTGAAAAGTGACCTTGTATTAAGAGGAAATTCGATATTGATTACCTTTGATTATCATAATATTCCTTCAGGTTTCTATTTATTCATTATCTTCACATATATGAAGAATATGAATATCAATTATCGTACATCAGTTTAGCTCTAGTCAGAAAAGTCTATTTAATAAAATTAGAAGTACTGCAACTTTATTTTTAAGGGAGTTTCAGTATTCAAAACAACAAGAAATTTCCGAGATCTGTGCAAAAGGTATTCACTCTTACAGATAACACAAATCTACGCACGGAACATTTAGCTAGAGCATCTGAATTTCATGACTACAAATCGATCTTCATAAGTTAGAGCATCTAAAGATGACTGTGAAAGAAAACGAACGCTGTTTAGGACAAACAATTTTATAAAGTATTTGTTCTGTTCTTTGCATTTATACATGGATTTTGTTGAAGTGGCTCGCATAATCGTATAAGCGAACAGAGGAAGAGAACGCGGAAAAGAGACAAAGAAAGTGAGAGAGAGAGAGAGAGAGAGAGAGAGAGAGAGAGAGAGAGAGAGAGAGAGAGAGAGAGAGAGAGAGAGAGAGAGAGAGAGAGAGAGAGAGAGAGAGAGAGAGAGAGAGATGGATTTTCAAACAGACAGATAGTTAGACAGAAAATTGGATAGGTAGACAAAAATACGGGCAGTCATATCTACTGATGAGTGGCTGAATGGTTAGGCAGACAGATAAAACGATTGGTTAAAAGGAATGGCGAACAGATTGACAGACTGCTAAATAGAGAGATTGATAGATAGACGGATAGATAGATAGAGAGAGCGTATGTATAAGTACACACACACACACACAAACACACACACACACACACACATACACACACACACACACACATACACACACACACACACACACACACACACACACACACACACACACACACACACACACACACACACACACACACTAACACTAACACACACAAGCACACACACACACATACACGCATATATACATCTCTCTATCTATCTAACTATCTATACATATATATGAGTATGTGAGCACGCATGTGTGTGTACATGTGCGTGTGTGTGCATACATAAGCACACCGTCGATTAATTCACACGTTCCTTGCATGGTCTCACATATCGGCATTGCAATGTTCTATTTCCTAATCGTGGCCGAGAAATATTACACTTGGAGTTGTCCGGAAGCTAACATTTGCATTTTATCTCCGCTGTGTAAGGCTATTCTTTTCTTAAGGATAGATTTACAGTGGACAATGAGTGGCAGAATAACAGATCTAGGAAATAAACTTTTTTTTCTTCTTCTTGATTAACATCATTTTGTGATTTCCTTTGAACCTCGAGCGGCGCATAATATGTAGGTCTACTCTCGCGAATCCATTGGAATTCTGATTATACATAAACGTACACACACACAAATAACACACACGCGCACACACAGAAACAAACACACACACGCGCGCCCACAGAAACAAACATACACATGCGCACACACACACACACACACACACACAGACCCAAACTATTAAACGCAAACACACACACTCAAACACACTTAAACACACACACACACACAAACACATTTAAACACACACACACACACACAAACACACTTAAAAACACACACACAAACACACTTAAAACACACACACACAAACACACACAAACACACACACACACACACACACAAACAAACACACACGCACATAAACACCCATTTCCCAGCCATTTAGCACATCAAGAGCATCCACTTTGTAAACTTGAGAGAGGACCACAACACACTCATTGCACACCGTAAAGGAATATCAGTGTAGCGAGTGAAGCCATGTTTTCAGAATACGATAATGTGGTTGGCTGTTAACTTAGATTAGGTGATACAGCTTTCGATATAATCCTTTTTAATAGTGATGACTAGAAGAGCAAAGGCTTAGGAAACATTGAAAAAAATTGTGATCAATGTTGAATTTATCTGTAAACTTTAGGAAAGGAAAACTATTCTTTTTCTTTTTTTTGGGGGGGGAACAGTTAACATGACAGTAAATTAAATTTCCTTAGTCAATCAAACGAATATTAACGATCACACACAGGAATAAAAAAAAACAGAGAAGTATGGATTTCATGAAAATCACTTTAATAGCAGTGAAATGTAACTGACGAAGTGTTTGCTGTTCACTACTGACTGTTCATTTACGAGCTTCGGAACTGCATAATGATTATCCTGCTTTTAATAGTGTTATTATTCCCTGTTATTCTTATTGCGTTGATGTTACGTTTACCACAACCTGTAACTTCTAATCCACCGCTAATACTACCGTTTTTACTAGTACTGCTACTACTACTACAACTACTATTACTACTACAACAACTGCTACAACAACAACTACTACTACTATTACTACTACAACAACTGCTACAACAACAACAGCTACTACTACTACTGTTACTACTACTACAACAACAACAACTACTACTACTACTACAACTAATACTACACCTACTACTACAACAACAGCTACTACTGCTACTACTGCTATATCAACTTCTACTGCAACTACTGCTATAACTACTTCTACAACAACAGTTACTTCTGCTATTACTATATCAACTACTACTACTACTACTACAACTGCTATTATAACTACTACTACTACTACTATTACTACTACTACTACTACTAGATTGACTCCTATTAATGTTGCTATTGCTATTGTCACTGTTGCATGTGGAGAAAAATAAAATTATCGCAGTAGTAATAATCAAAATATCAGTGATAATGATAACAGTCATTGTAGCAATGATAACAATAGCAGTTACAGTGACAATCTTGTTTTAATAATTACGAAAACAGTAAAAATGATGATGACGATGATGGCCATAGTAGTAATGATGATAATAATGATAATTATGATAATGATAATAATAATAGTAATAATAGCAATAATAAAAACAACAAACAACAATAATAGTAACAACAATAAAATGGTAATAATAATGGTGATAATAATGATAATTATAATAATAACAATAATAATAATAATAATAATAGTAATAATAACAATAAGGCTACTACTAAAAATAGTAATAGTAACAATAATAATAATAATGACAATAATAATAGTAATGATAATAACAATAATAATAATTATAACAATAGTAACAATATTAATAATGATGATAATAATAATAACAATAATAATAATAATAATGATAATAATAATAATAATAATAATAATAATAATAATAATAATAATAATAATAATAATAATAATAGTAATAGTAATAATAATAATAATGATAACAATAATAATAATAATAATAATAATAATAATAATAATAATAATAATAATAATAATAATGATAATGGTAAAAACGATGATGATGATAACAATAATGATAATAATAACGGCAATAACAATAGTAAAGACAGCAACAAAAACAACAGTAATATTGATAGTTACAAAGAGATAATTGTTGTAGTAATATTAGTAGTAATAAAGATAAGGGTAGTAACAGTAATGATGATATTAGTGATACTGAAAATAATAATAAAAACAGAGACAATGATATTGCAGATATTGATATTAATAGCAATAATGATAATAACAACATAGATAATAGTAATAGTTCGGGTAATAAGAAACAAAACAATAATGATAATTGGTCTTTCTGATAGCGATGTACACAATTATATACTATATATATATATATATATATATATATATATATATATATATATATATATATATATATATATGTATATATATATATATGTATTTGTATGTATGTATGTAAATGTATATACATATATATTTATTTTATTATACATACATGCATATATATATATATATATATATATATATATATATATATATATATATATATATATATATATATATATATATATATATATATATATATATATATATATATATATATATATATATATATATATATATATATATATATATATATAAGGAGAAGCGGCGGAGCGGCCTGCGCGGCCGCCCGCAGCAGAGGTCCCTCGGCCGCCGCGTACTCGGCTCCCAAAGTTGCAAGTGACAGCGGAGAGCGGTGGCCTCGCGGCGTGAGTGCAACTTCCCCTTTAAGTGGCATTTATCACTTTTGAGGTGGCGGGGCTGGTGGCTACTCCAGAGGCTCCGCTCCGGCCGAGTTGGGAATATGCTTTACAATCCTAGTTTATGCTCTTTAATGGCTGCTGACGCGGGTTAAACAAAGCCCGGGCGTTGCGGCGGCGAAAACGGGCGTAAACGCGACTTGTTGTGGTCTTTTTGGTGAGAGATCCTTTGGGGTTTCCGATGCTACGCGTCCGCTCCTATTTGGAAGGAGGGAGAAGAGAGAGAGAGAGAGAGAGAGAGAGAGAGAGAGAGAGAGAGAGAGAGAGAGAGAGAGAGAGAGAGAGAGAGAGAGAGAGAGAGAGAGAGAGGGGCCAGGAGAACATCTATTTATTATCGAGCCAGACATCGAAAAAGCGCCAAAGCCTGCCACAATCCTCCGGACGAAGATACAAAAGGCAATCATTAAAAGGCGTCGATTACCACACGTAGCCGGAGCCAGCGAAGCACAAGCGAGCGCCGTCTCGGCCTCTCGCGTTATCGCCTCCGAATCGCGCGCGGATGGCGTCCCGCTCGAAGCTAATCCTCCGTGAAATCTACAGGCGCCTCCCGATGACGCGCTGGTGAGGTCGAGGGCGAGGATGACCGTGTAAGGAGAGAGGCTTCACTTGCATCCTGATTGGCGGCGGGGAGGGGGGGGGGGCACAGGCGAAGGAGGGAGACGGACGGAGGCGAAAGCTTTGGTCATGTCGTCTTAATATTTTTTGTCGGTCTCAGTTTTTGGTCAGAATAACATGTAAATAACATTCTTTTGAATCCGGACGTCGTAACGATAACTGATGAAAAACAGA